CTATAGGTTGTGAAAGAGTGGGACAGTATTCCCATTACAACTGACTTTAAATCCCTTAAAGTTTTATGTGGCTAACTAAAATTAATGATAGTCTTTCAAACTGAAAGACAACGTGGTTTTTCCATTCACCTCAAGCAGATCCATCTAGTCTAAACTCTCTTCAACCCCACAAAAAAACCCTTTCTGCTTCCTTCTCCCATGTGCAATTACTGCCTCATCAGCAAAGCACAATATAATCTCTATTGTTTATTAACACACCACCATGAGTCTACATAGGAGTTACCAAACTCTCTCTCAATAGTTACTGCAGATTTCCACAACCCTGTATAGCATCTTACATAATGCAGCTTAAAATAGGAATCAACGGATGATTCTTCTTAATAAGGTATACTTGCTAAATGGGGAAGAGAGCAGACTAAAGTTCTTCAAATGGGCCAAGCAAGACCATAGCGAGGCTTATGCTTGTGTAATCATTAGGAATAAAGCACTTGAATTAGAAGGCATGGATGTCTGCCAAGGAAAGATGAGAGCAGATTTGTTTCAGCACTCTGCTACAGGAATGGATTTCAAACAAGCCAGATCCCTTGCTTCGTTTTTCCATGCTTCCATTTTTTATATTAAAAGTTATTCTTCTCCCCCCAGCTCAGATGTTAAGGCCATAAGAGATAACTACATTATTTAGCCTGACCTCTTGTGTATCAGAAGACATTAAAATGTTACCATATTGTCCCTGTGTAAAGCACACTTTTATGTTTGGCTAAAGCATACTTCAAGAACATTGTTCAGTCTTGATTTGAAGACATCAAGAGATAACTTCTCCCTTTGCTTCTCCAGTGGTTAAGCACTCTCACAGTTAAAACTGAGGCTAATTTCCAAATTGAATTTGTCTGCCTTTTGCTTCCAGTGATGGCTTGTTGTTCTGTGTTCTTTTCTGAAAGATTAAAAAGTCCTTTAGAATGTGGCACTTTCTGCCTATGAAGGTACTTCAATATTTCATTCGTGGTACTGCTCTATCTCCTTTTTGGAGCCCTGTAAGACTGTTTTTCTAAGACATTTTCCCCAGCCATAAAATAATTTGTGGCTCTTTTTTGGGGCCCTCTGCAATTTTTCAAAGTTCTATTTAAAATTTGTACATCAAAAATGGAAGTAACATTTCAACAGTGGACTCACCAATATACTTAACGTAAGTCAAATCATCTCCCTATTTCTACTCATTACTCGCTTGTTTATACCCAAAGCATCGCATTAGCACTTTTTTGGATAGCACTGGTGTAGACAATTTTTTTTCCCTTTTATTTTTAGTATAGTATTTACATGACTTCACAGCACTAACAGCTCCTTGCAAGTTACTTCTCAAAGGGAACATGAAATCTGTGAGTGTTTTCACTTTCAGTTGCACTTTCTCTCTGTATGGTCTGTATGCTTTGTTTCTATATGTATGTATATATATATATGTTTGTTTCTATATGTATATATTCATTTACCTGTGTAAATGAATATATATTTTGCTAAAATGAGCTCAATTACCAAGTGATCTAGATAGCTTTGTATGCCCTCTCATCATTATTTATCATGTCTCTAGTTGTATCATTTGCAAGTTTCACCAGCAGTGATTTTGTGTG